AGCATCGAGCAGTTGAATGTTTGCTAAATATCCTCAGGGATAGTATGGTAAGAATTCACTCAATCAAAGCAATCAAATATGATCATGTTGAATTGCACATATGAATGACCTCAAGTGAGTGTAAAGGGTTGCAAAGAGGCAAAGGCTTGACCAAAAGTACTTGTTAGACAGCGGAGTATCATGAAGATGTATGTACAGTCAATCAATTGTGCAGACCCCTTTGGTTTAAACAGAGTGGAACTTTGGACATAATTGAGCATTATTACGCCGATGGCCCACCAGGCCACAGGCCTTGCAAGTCTCCACTCGCTTCCCATTCACAGGTGGATCGACATACTCAAAAGCGGATGGATCTCGACGTGTAGAGTCATCTTGATCCTGACGACTTGAAGTTAATCGGGGCCTTCCTTTTGATATGATCGGATGAGGTTCTTGTAAAACCACTGGGACTTGCTGGGAAAGTTCATGTAGTTGCTCTACCATTTCCTGCTGCTGTCGCATCGGAAGATTCTTGAAATTCTCAGACAGGCGGTTGAGAACAGTTGGTAATACATCACTTGGCTCTTCGGGCAGTAGCTGAAGCAAAATTGGTGTGGGATGATGGAGATGCCAGTGGCGGTGGAAATCCGCGAGTGAAAGTCGTTCTTTCTGTGAGATAAGCCGGCGTAAAAGATGAGAGCAAGGGAGACCCCAAACTGTTGTGAATGTTTGGGTACAAGGCTTCGTATCTGGGCTCAATGGGCGCCTCGCAAGCTCGAGCTACAAACGGAGATGATTGTTATCAGCAGCAATCGATTTGCATAAAGCCTAACCTGACATACTTGTTCGTGTACTTTGCAAAGTGAAAACGATGAAACCTTCCTATTGACATCCTGGAAGATCTCTCCCTTGGGTGTAGGTAGAGCAAAAGTGAGGACATTCATCTGATCCTTAGCCAGCTGGGCACGGTAGTCGGTGAGAAAGTTTTCAATTGAATGTACAATTTTTTCACTACAATTGAGAATGTTATTCAGATTGATCTTGATATACTTCTTGATCCGTCCAT